CTTTTTATATTATTACCTTGCAGTTCTTTAATAACTTTCCACAATCCTTTAGCGTTTTCTTTATTTTGTGTTATTTGTTTTGTATAATATTCTCTTTTTGATTTTTTAATAAGTCTATGTTACTAGCCTATAATTTAAAAAGATTTCTTTTTTTTCAATATTTTCTATGTCTTTTTTATAAATATTATGTAATCGATTTCGTTCTTTAATTGAATTAATAATACCCTTAGTTATCCACTGTTTTCTTTTCTTAGTTTGTTTTTTTTCATGAATGAGTTTTGTATTTTGATCCATGTATGTATTTATTGTATCTACTAGATAATTAATTTTTTGATTTGAATTATTTATGTCATAGAATGTTTCCCAGTTATGGCTTTCTATATTTTCTTTTAGGTTTATGTGATTTATTTTCTTAATGTAAGATTTTTTTTGTGCTGTTTCGGCTATTAAAGAGAGATATGCAATTGTAGCTTTATGGTCAGTAATTTGAGTATCATAAATTGCGGCTATGTGATTATCCGATTTATCGGAACTATAAAAAATGTGGTCTATACAACTTTTGGATTTCCCTTGTACTCTTGTGTATTTATTTATTAAAGATTCAAATTTATATTCACCTAAAATATTTAGATATGTAGATACTAAATCTGTCTGTTGTTTAATGTTTATATTAATGTCTCCTATAAAAACATGTCTACTAATTTTTAAATTAATTTTTGATTCTTCCAGGTATGTCAGAAGATTATCAACAAATTCTTCTTCCTTAACTGGAGGTGGTTTGTATAAAGATGTGATTAGAATTTCGTTTTTATTAGTTAATTTAATTATTGTTTGAATTGCCTTACACTGTCCGATTTGTACTATTTTATGGTTACATTTTAAATGTATTTTAATAAAAATTACTACTCCATCATTGCGGTTAATATCTCCCTTATTGTAAATTGAATTGTAACCAGGTAATTGAAATAAACTCATATCTGGAATATTAAGTGTTTCTGTAAGTACTATAACGTCAAAAGAATGATTTAATTGTGATAAAAAAATGTTCAATTCATCGAAATTTTTATTTAAACTATAAATATTCTGATGGAATATTTTGAATGTATTGGTTGTAATTGTTTTGTGGTATTCATTAATTTCTTGGAGATTCATAAATTCTATAGTATTGCACGGTTCGTGAATTATATCTCTAATGTATGGATCCATTTGTGATATAACAGTATTACAATTTTTAATGAAATATACCTACCACAAAAATAGGAAGATTAAAAAGATTAAAAATAATTAAAAGATTTAAAAGATTAACAAAATTAAAAAGATTAAAATTATTAAAGATAATGAGGAAGATGGTATGGCTATTTATTATTTTTACTTCCCAATCTTGGTCGTAAATTCGGTTGAGGATCCCTATTGTGTTTTTCTGGTTTATTCTTTGGCGTTTGATTGGTTACTACTTCTTTTTGTGTTCTCTTCTCCTCATTAATGTCTGTTTTCTTGTCTCCAGAACCACTTGGTCGTTGAAGATTCTGAATTTCCTTAGTATTTACTGTCTTGGTACTTACTTCCTTGGTATTTACTTCTCTGGAAATAGTGGGCGTTTGAGGTGCACTATTTTGATGTTTGTTACCTTCTGGCTCTGTACTAGCGTCTTTAATTGTTAATGATTGTGCTGTGTAAGCTATATTATTAACATATAGCTTGTCACCCTTGATGTATGATGTATCAGACGTATTTGCGCGTGCTAATTTTAGATGTGTTGTAAGTACCTTATTCTCTTCTCTTTGTAATTCCGTTAGATCGCTAGTAATACGTATATTTGTGCCTTTTAGGTTTTTACAGTTTTTAAGGATTTCCAGTTTTTTTAGGTATGATATGAATTCGATTTTAATTGGACTTGAGTTAAATTTCCCTAGTTTGTATGAGTTATTAATATGACCGATGTTCAAGTCAACTTTTAGGAGGATCTTTAGTTTATTAATAATACTACCAAGATCGAAACCGTCACACTCTATTCCATAAATAATAATATTGTTTTTCTTCGTTGTTCTTTCTATATATTCTATTTTCCTTATAATATTCTTATTGGCTTGCTCCGCTTCTGTTATTCTTTTAGATAAACCTTCTAGATTCCACAATATTCTGGTTTCGCTTGCCGTTATACAATTTTTTATCTCACTTTTGATGTCATTACTATCTTGTTTCATATCATTTCTTAATTTATTTTTTGCGTTGTAAACATCATCTTCATTACGGTCTAAAGTAGACATTCTAATGTTAAACGTATATTTTTATTTTATTTAATTTTATACCGTGGTGGAATGAATCCAGTTTTATATTGTAAATAAAGTTTTTCTACTTACAAGAAAAGAACAATTCAGGTTTTTATTCTTCTAGATACTCAAAGTTATGTTGCACAGTGTCACTAACACTTATATCGATGGACTACACTGTATTTTGTTATGTGTACTGTTCAAAACTATTTATTTCTTATGTAGATTTGGTAATTTTTGTTATTAATTTAGCGTAAAGATAAGTGAGTGTTACTTGGTTGGCACATTCCACCAAGTATAGTATTGTTTATAATGCGCTAAAAAACTTACCATGAATTTAACAGCAAGCAACTTGATGAAAATGAAAAAAATAACGAATCTCAGTTATTTACGGAGCGATTTTAAAATTTTAAAAATAGTTGTACAGAGAAAAGCAGCGGCTACAAAAATGAGCAAAAAAAATTAGAGTGTCGTTAATAATATTTGAGGGGGTTGTTCCAGTGGGGTAGTTTTTGAGGGTGGGTCATCAAATTTTTATTTGTTTTAAAGTGCACCGCCAACTATAATGGATGACTTTTGTCCGGTTCAATTATCTTGCATGGTTTTGAAGTTACAGCATGGGTAAAACAATTTGGGACACCCTGTATAATCCAGTGTCCATTTTTTACATACTATGTCCATATGTTATATATACTACCTATTGTGATTTGTCAATAAACGTTTTATTTTAACGTCACTAATAAGATTTGTTGTGCTGCATATTTAACAGGTAGGATATAGAGTTTACAAAGATGGTAAAGTGGCTCGTGCTAGAGATGTCTATTTTCTAAAAAACTCACAACTTTAAGATAGTCAGTTGCTAGCTGAAGCTTTAATATCAATTTCGTCTGTTATCGTAAACTTGAAGCCTATTCAGCATCAGCGATCTGAACTAAACACTTCTGAAGTGGGTGATATCGAATCAAAAAGTACCACAGATGTCTATGAAGAAGAAATAGGTTGTAGATATCCTCTTAGAATTTGTTTAAATAATAAACATGTGCACTATACTGACGTTCAAGAGACTCATGATCCTATAACTGTGCCTGAAGCTCTTAAAGGGCCCGATAAGGACAAATGGTGACAGGCAATGCCAGAGAAATATAACTCCTTGATTGCTAAAAAAGTTTTTATTTTGGTAGATAAGCCTAAAAATGTAAATATAGTGCCATGTAAATGGGTATTGAAACAAAAAAGGAATTCCGAAGACAAAACTTTAAGGTACAAGGCCTGGTTAGTTACTAAAGGATTTGTACAAAGATATGGCATAGACCATGAACTTTTGCACCCGTAGTAAGACATGAAGTACTAAGAATGCTTATAGGTCTTGCATCAAAGTTAAATCTAAGTACAGACCATATGGATGTCCAAACGGCCTTTCTCAATGGCGAACTTACCGTTTATATGCAACAGCCTGAAGCTGTTATACAACCTAATTCAGAACATAAAGTATGTTTTTTTTAAAGAAAGCTATATATGGCTTAAAACAGGCTTCCAGAATGTGAAATATTAAAGCACATAATATATTACTAGAGTTAGGTTTAAAACAAAGCAATTACGAGCCTTGCGTTTACTACAAAATTTCTGAAAAGCTAACTATTAAGTCAAAGCTAATGTTACTTTTTTATTTGGAGTGAGGGTAGCCATATGTGAGTAATAGGGATTAAGTGTAAGGGGTTAAAGAAAAGGTCCTTTATTTCTCACAAGTCAAATGTTACTTTTACAAATAAAAGATATTGGTAAAGCTGAATACTGTTTAGGTATCAGAATTACCTACAATGATTCAGATTCAGGTAAAAGTATAAAACTTGACCAAACTCATTATGTCCATGAACTTTTGACAAAATTTCAAATGGATGAGTGTAAACCCATTCGAACTCCAATGAAATAAAACTTAAAATTGTTAAAATTTGATGGAGAATTATCTAAAGTCCCTTATCAATATCTCATTGGAAGTCTTAGGTACTTATCAATTTGCACTAGACCAGACATTTCATTCACTGTAAATTATTTCAGCAGGTTTAATAACAATTTCAGTATAGAGCATTGGAATCATGTAAACTGCGCTATTTAAAAGGTTCAGCGGACCAAGGATTAGTTTACACATCTGGTGGTTGTGATCTTACAGGCTTCATAGATGCAGATTGGGGGTCTGATATCAAAGATAGGAAATCTTTAACTGGTTACGTGTTCATGTTTGCTGGTAGCTCGATATTTTGGGAAAGAAAAAAGTAGTCTTTTGTTGCTATATCTAGTACTCAAGCAAAGTATGTTGCGTTATCAGACGGATTAAAAGAAACCTTATTTCTTCGATGGGTTCTAACCATATAAAGTAAATGAATCCACCATTATTTACTATGATAGTCAAAGTCCTAATCAATTGGTAAATAAACCTGTATATCACTCACGGACTAAACATATTCATATTAGACATCATTATGTCCGAGAAGTTGTTTCTGAAGGAGAAGTTCAAATACATGCTTATAAATAAAATGGTTGCTGATTCTTTTAGAAGGTCCCAATGCAGAATCAAATTCGAAAATTGCAAGAGAAGAGTTGGTATAACTACAGAGACTGAGCCACTGTCTTAACAACAATTTTAGATATATCGATTTTTCAAATCAAATTAATACAAACGTTTACTATTAATAATTTAAGATTGTATTTTACTTGTCCCATTTATTTTCTTAGGGGCTTCTCTAAAGAATTTGATCCATGCATCGAGGAAATCGTAAACGCAACATTGGAAATATTCAGGCAGGCCAGATTGAATCTGTTGCCGACACCAGCCAAGTCGCACTATCTATTCAATTTAAGAGATTTCTCCAGAGTAATACAGGTAGGTACTTTAATAACAATAACATTACAAAGAAAATACATAATTGAGGAAGAATCGACTAAACTATACACACTGAATTACTTATAGAAAATCTTTATTTGAAAAAACGCTGAATGGAAATATACCATGGCTAGTATATAATTAAAACTTTAATTTTGTAAAGCTCTCAGAAGTATACTTTTTTTCACTTTTCTGGAGTTCTTCTGAGGTCACTCTGTTAGTTTAGCCAACTGATAATAGTAAGCATATTTTCAAGTTTCTTTTTCAGGCCAGCGTGCCAAACCTTGTCAAAGGCTTGGACTATGTCAAGAAATATAGCTGAGCATATACATTATTCTTTGTATACTTTTTCAATGATATCGTCTAGCCTGTATACTTGATCTATTGTCGAGTGTTTCTTTCCTAAACAAAATTGGTGCGAAGGGATCAGATATTAGTGAAAACAACGATATAAATCTCTATGATGACACTTAAATAACAAGTTTTCCTGGCTTAGAAATTAGGATAATTTCAGAAATTTTACCTCTGGTACATTAAAGGTAAAATTTTGCATTTACTAGGTATGCCACTTTAATGATAGCCTTCCGGAAAATTGGTCTAAAAAAATTTAGCCTAAAATATTTAGTCTAATATCAATTAACCTAAATACATTTTATCTAAAAACAAATTGGTCTAAATTTCATTTGATCTAAAATCTCCCTCTTAGTCTAAAGTTCATCAGATCTAAAACAGAATTGGTATATATGACATTTTTTCTAAATACAATTATTCTGATTACTACAAATGCAAATTTTTGCATTTTAGATAATTTAATAATTGTCAAAAAACGCAAACTTGATTAAATATAACACCTATTTACAAAATTGAAGGGAATCAATAATCGAAAACAGCAAAACATAAACATGAAAAAACAATGAAAAATGAAAGAGGCCACTAAATTAAATAACTAATTCTTTGTAATATTGCTACCAACTGTTCATCTAATTCATCAAAATCGCAGCTTAGCACTATTTTACTACGTTCCTTATACGTATTCTTATATTTTTTCTTAACGTTATTGTCATCTTGAGTCTGTTCTTTTATTATTTTTATTATGGTTTCTTCTTTCTGAAGTGATTTAATATATTGCCACAGAGATGGCTGTTTTGCATCAAATTGTTTTTTTTAGAAAAGAGTGCCATCCCTCAATATGATTGTTAGCAGTAGGCAAGTTACTTTAAATTGTATCAAAACGGTTCCAAAGCATCTGAGGATAAATAGGTGGAGCAATGTTTTTTTTTTCCAACCCAAGTATTTTGAAAATATTCAATAAATATTTTAGCCTCTTCTGGAATCATATCATCCAAACAGGAGCCTGGTATATTTTTCTCTCGTTTTAATCGATTAAGGTACCAAACGATTCACTTTTGACAATGCTCCACCATAAAGAAGGTGTGGCTTCGGTGGCTAGGTTCCTGTTTTAGCCCTATATTTCTTTTCTATATACGCTAGTTAGGTGTGATGTCATTTTGGTTCCACTGACATTTAATTCTAACCAAACTTTTAACAATAACATCAATAAATTTGACATATACGTTTCTACTGTTTTTAGTTTATTTTGGAATATTGTTTACAGTGCATAAAAATAGTTTAAAGGTAACTAAACGATGGTATATTTGATGCACTTACTTTAGGAATATATTTATAAAAGTAAAAAAAATGATATAATTTAGGTAACAAAACGAACAAAACGCACTTAAAAAATCTATTGTCACTTTAGTGGAACCATAATTAGATCATCACTGTAAAATGGTTTGGTAAATTTATCTATGGTAACTACTAATAAAATTTTGGTAGTATGTAACTACGATAACTGCTAATTTGACAGTATTCATAATTAATTAATGTTAATAATAATTTCATTGTTAAATTTAGCTAAATTTGTTTTCATTACAATATCGAAGAGATAATATGTGATTTAGATTAAAATGTATTTAGACCAAATATATTTTAAAGCATCTTTATTTAGACCATTTGATATTAGATCAATTGTTTTAGACTTTTTTTTAGACCAATTTTCCGAGAACCGATTCTGCCATCGGTCATTTCTTTCTTAATTTTCTCATTTCTATTACCATTTTTCTTAACTCAACATGGTAGTTTTGTCCAGTTGTTAACCTTCCTACTTTTAGTGTCATATTCCATGTAGCTTGCTGAATCTCCACTATAAATTTTTCCAGTTCTTGATATAGCTGATTTTTCGTTTTTAGTGTTATGGCCAATTAAAAAGACTTTGTTGGATCTTCTTAAAAACCTTTCCTATTGATTTTCAGATTTGCTAGGGTCGATTTTGCTTCTTTTTGAATAACATTATAACTTAGAGCAGTGGTCGCCAACCTGTCGATCGCGAGCTACCGGTAGCTCGCGGAGCCAATTCTGGTAGCTCTCACAACGATTTTAATTTAAAAAATACAAACTGCAAAAATCAGAGAAGCTTCCGAAAATTTTACAAAAAAATCTAATTGTCCTAATATTAAACATAAACAGCGGCAACGTTGCGGTGAGCGATCTGCCGCTGACGCCATCAAGCTAGAATCGGCTAGAACCGACCAGCCGCACCAGCGCGTTAGTGTTCGAGAACGATCAGGATTGCTTTGAACGGGATAAATACGCACGGCGCGGCGACATTGCGCTTAGTTTAAAACTGAACGCGTAACCAACGTCCAGCGGTTGGGTAAGTAGAGAACAACAAAAAATAATATTATGGCAAGCAGTTGTAAGAAGGTAAAGACATACCACTTTCATTCGGAATGGGAAGAACAATACTTTTTTACAGAAGTTAAAGATAAAAATGTGTGTTTGTTATGTAATACTTCGGTCTCCGTTGCTAAAAAAGGAAATATTGAGAGACATCATAAAACTGTACATTCTAATTTTGAAAAATCATTCCCACTACATTCTGCCGCCAGAAAGGAGAAACTGAAACAGTTAAAAAAGCAGTTAATTGGACAACAATCAATATTTTTAAGAACAGTCGACAAAAATAAGGCTGCAACTGAAGAATCGTACCGTGTGTCCCAGATAATTGCACAAAAAAAGAAACCTTATGAAGACGGGGAAATGATAAAACAAGCGTTTTTAGAAGCTGCTGATTCGTTATTTGCCAACTTTAGAAATAAAGACGAGATAGTTTCTGCTATAAAATCTATGTAACTTTCTGCTAATACAGTGATGAGACGTGTAGAAATAATGAGCAATGATATTTTTTTACAGTTAAGAACTGACTTAGATAACTGTGTTTATTTTTCTCTTTAACTGGATGAATCAACATATGTCGTTAATACTGCCTAGATGACCGTGTTCGTCAGGATGGTTTTTAGTGATTTTACGAATAAAGAAGATCTTTTGAAGTTTATTCCACTGAAAAGACACACTACTGGATAGGAGTTATTTTCTCATTTAAAAAATATTATTTCTTCTGAGAAAATTCCAATATCGAAAATGGTTGGCTTGACAACCGATGGCGCTCCAGCTATGGTGGGTTGTGATAAGGGTCTGGTGGCGTTATGTCGTAAAGATGAAACTTTTCCGCAATTTCTCTATTACTACTGCATTCTCCATCAGCAAGCATTATGTGGAAATTTCCTGAAACTAAACAACGTTATGAAATTGGTGGTAAAAATTGTGAACAAGATTAGAGCTCAAGCGTTACAAAGAAGATTATTCAAAACCTTGGCCGATGAAGTTGACTGTCAATACGGGGACCTACTCCTTCACTCTGAAGTCCGATGGTTGAGTAGAGGACGGGTGCTGAAACGTTGTAATGATGTCCTATCTGGCATAGTTCAATTTTTCAAACAACGCGATCAACCGACTCCGGAACTAGAAAATTCAATCTGGCTTAGAGATTTTGGTTTTCTCGTGGACATTACAGAGAAATAAAACGAACTTAATTTGCAGCTTCGGGGAAGACAAAGAACTAGCGGAAATGATTTCTGATATCCAGCATTTATCAAAAAGCTGGAGTTTTGGGAACAAAACCTAATTAACAGCGATGCCAAGCATTTTCCTATTCTTTCAGAAAAATTATCTCAAAATCCATTAGAACCGTATGACAGCAAATATCATTTAGAAATAGTTTCTACCCTGAAGAATAACTTCAAAAATCGTTTTAAGGATTTCAACGAAATGGCTTTAGTAGCGCAGTTTGTTGTTTCACCCTTTATGGAAATTGATATCCAACAGTTTGCAACTTGTGTTATACAGAACTTTGGCGAAGACATCGCTGCAACAGAAATGGAAGTAATTGAGTTTCAAAATGATTTAGCCTTAAAATCGTTAGTCTCAAGTACCAAATGTATCTGGCCTATTGTAAGTAAAGACAAATATTCAGTTCTATGCCGTGTTGCCTTGAAAGTGAAAGCATTATTCAGTTCAACCTATTTGTGTGAATATTCTTTTTCCAACCCAGCTAGCACAAAAATATCCCATCTACGTTAATAAGCTGCAATTTTAGGCTCTTTAAGCTCGCATGCAATGTACTGTAAATGTAACCCTATTATCCTTGCAACTACCGAATGTCCGCAACGGCAAGACTTTTATAGCACATCTCGTAGAAGTTATAAAGTGAAGTTCGGAAAACATCACACTAGCACTTTTACGGTACTTACCCCGAAAGTTGCTCTGAAACTTTCTATAGATGTTATAATGTGAATTCCTTCTACAGCATTATACAGTGTGTCCACGGATCGACTTAACAATACTTGTAAAAATATTTATTTTAAATGTTAAAGTACTTCTTCACAATTTCTTTTGCTTGTTAAATAAATACGATGAGAAATTATGAAAAATACCTCTTTTGAAAAATTTAAAATAAATATCTTTACAAGTATAGTTATGTCCATCCTTGGATACACTATATTCAAAATAGTATATTAAGGATATAGTAAAATCTGAAGAAAACAAAATAAAAAAATTGTATAAATTTATTATTAAAAAGCTATTGAAATCAAGTACCAATA